AACATCATTAATTTATATATGAAACAAAACAGGACCAAGGATAGAACCGAGAGGTACCCCAGAAGTTACTGGAAACAATTAATAGTGATGGATTTGATAATCACCAAAAATTTTACAGATACACTATATGAAACAAGCTTATGGAGAAAAACAGAATGCCAAACTTTGTCGAAAGTCGCTGATAAACCAAGCGCAATAGCCTCGCCTCTTTGCCTCCATCTAATGCACAAAATTTTTTTTTTAGTTACAACAGTGAGCAAGTCAGCTGTAGAGCAAGAGGACCAAAAAACGTATTGATTGATGAGCAGTAAGCTATTTTACTCAAGTTGGGATGTGAAAAAATTGTCTATTATAGACTCAAAGATCTTGCTAACAACAGAAAGAAGACTGATGGGACGATAATTAGAGGGGTAAATATGTTCACTGGAGGTTTTGAAAACTGAAACAAAAAATGTCATATTTCAGCATGCAGGAAAATAATATCTAGTCAAGCACTTACTAAATAGTTTGAAGAGCATTGATGAGAGTTCTGACAAACCAATGTGTATGACTGTAACAATAATGTTTTCTGGATTACATGCCGTAGAAAAGTTTAATCAAGATATGACTTTAGCATTGGAAGCTTGAGTAATTTGAAGTTTAACAATGGGTTAACCTGTTTAAATGAAATAGAAGGAAGAGAATGGCGATAAGATTCAATAGTTGAATTAGATAACAAATTATTTTTCGCAAATAGTTTTGCCTTACTTTTGGGAAAAGGAATATGTCTTATAAACCTTTCTTTCAGAGTTCTTTTTGTCTCTTTGAATGAGAGCCTAACTTCTGAGATATGATACAAAATTTATTGAACTGAAAATATTGGAGCTTAGCATCTGACAGTACCTTTTTGCATTGATTTCTTTCAACAATAAATAGCTATTTGTTTCCGAGAGAGGTGTTCTTTTGAAAAAAATGAGAAAAATAATTAAGATAAAAATAACAGCTACTTAAGACGGTGAAAACGACGGCTAAGAATGAGGCTTACTTGGAACCAACGTGAAGGAATAAAAACTTCCATTCCTGCTTGAATCGAAGAGGTTACGTAAGAGACATATTGTTCAGCTGAAAGGGAAAAGACATCAGCTCAAGAACCGTCACAAAAAGAAACACAAAAAGGATCCTTGTCAGCTTTAGATTAGTAAGCAAGTAGTGCAATAATAGGGTAAGTTCAAAAAGGAAGAATTTAAAAAGATTACTGCGTGGTCAGAATCACCTAAGAGAGAAAAAGGAGAAAAAGGAGAAAAAGGAGAAGCTGAACACAAGCTAGGATCAGACACCAGACTTAAATTAAGGAGTAAAGGTAAATAATTAGGGTTGTCAGCAAAACGAATCATAAAATTACCTATTTGAGTAAAGTAGCGTTAAATTCAGAAATTATAGGTTTTAGTGCCAGCAGGCTCAGTGGCATTAGAGAGAAAGCAGTCAGTGTGATGAGCATTAAAGTTAACAAAAACAAAATTGTTGGCAGAGGGGTAAAGCGGAGGTTATTTTCAATTTGATAAGAAATTACATTAAAAGAAGGCGTTATCAGGAAGAAGGAGAACAAAGACATGGTGATAGAGTTAAGAGATGCTAAGCAGGATCAAATAAAAGAGTTTTCAAAAGGTTCGAATCTGATTTAACAACAAATAGGTGTATTCATGCGTATGCATACCCCTAAGTCAAACATGTGATTATTGGAGCCTTTGCGAATTAAAGGATTGTAAGTTTGGTACAAAAGTTCAAGAAAATCCTATGAAAATTACGTGGTTTCTTTTCGTTATTAGTTTTTAATTATTTTAATTGTAATTAGATATATACTGGTTTTTGTGATGATTATCTTTGTGGATATTTATTTGATATAAATAGATGTAAAAACTTTTTGTGAAGATAAGTTGAATATAGGTTAATAAATAAATTTTTGGAAAGAAAAGAAGTTTTTTTTCGAGCAAGAAAATTACAAGGATAATACCAATTAACACTAATATCTGAAGAATTTAAAGTGGAATTTAAACTAGTCTTATTAAGGGCAAGTAAAATTGGTGATTTTTGCAAGATATAAGATTTGACTGAAGCAAGGTTGTTCTGCACACCGCGAGCGTTTGTAAAAGATATATTAAACTAGTTAGTGAGGATGATTTTTATATTATTATTTTGGGTTATTTCTAGCATGGTTTAAGTTTAAAGACAACTTGAATTATTTATAGATAGAGCTTGGCCTCGTAACCTATGCATTTTTCTCCATCCAGAAATTAACCCTAAATCGTAACATGGACTCAATCCATTCGCAACTTGGTACTGTTAATAGTATGATTTTTTGCAGCTATTAATAAAATCAGTCACCATGAGTGTTACCATAGAGTTCGGGAAACCTTACTACAAGCTGGCCTCAGAACCATTAAACTGAGTTTTAGAGTTGTACACTCTTTAGAAGATAACAGGAAAAATTGCCTAACCACAATCAAGGAGGCACAACCAAAAACCTATGAGAAGAGTCAAGAAGACCCAGCACTTATCCTGTTAGACAGAAAACAATTTATCACAGGGTTACATCTACACCAGCCTCATGGATGAAGAGGGGTTTAAGGCTGCTTAGGAAAATAACTCTGCTTACCCTAAAGTCTTTGCCTAGGAGACCTTCTACAAGACATTAGCTAGATGCAGTTAACATCTGCCTAAGATGAGTATTTTTATGACCATCATTTTTTGGTTTTACTCAAGCAAAAGCCCCAAGGGTTAGGGTAAGGGTCTGGGTTTTGGGTTAGGGTTTGGATTAGTTTTGAACTTTGCTAATGTGCCGATATTTTTGAAATAGATTTAAAAGTTTAACTTGCTGATGTCTTTTTATTTATAAATATCTATTTCTCTAATTCTTACATTCTAATATAATCTTATAATCTAATCTGATATCTAATTTATTTCTAAGTCAAATGGTGACACATAAAATATATTTTTATAATTCTTGCCACGACAATAAATTTTAAAAGTCCAATAAACTTTCCGCTGAGTTTTACAGAGCATTTTTAAAATTAGTACTCCTTTTATAACACTCGCTACATCATTGTAACTCTTGGTAAAATAACAGCAAAACAATTTTTGAAAAAGAGTTAAACAACTAATAGTTAGTTTATTTAACTAGTGGTTAGTTTATTAAACTAATAGTTTATATAACTAGTGGTTAGAGTAGTGGTTAGTGATTAATTTATTATTTAATTAGTAATTAGTTTTTGCATTTTTGAATTTTTTATTAAAAAAAAAAAAAAGTTTTTTTCTTAAAAATTATTGGCTAATTACTGTCTACCTAAAGCAGTTCAGTTTAGAATTAAGTTCTACGTAAGAAAACTCATATCCGCAGGAAAAAAGTTATGTATAAAAAGTTGCAAATCTCTACTTTATTTGATAAATTTTGTTGATAATAGAATTAAATCCGGTGTAAACTTTTGTAGTAAAACAAACGGCTCAATATTTTCCAAACCAATAGTATTTAAAGTTTAAAGAGGTCTTAAAGTTTCTTCGCCATTTGTCTTTTGTAATTAGTTTTCAGTATACTCTGCTAACAAAATGTGAAAATACTTTTCTTAAACAAATGCATAATGAAAAAATGCTCTAAAAGTGTAATAGTTTAGATACCTGAAAATGTTTTCTATCTGACAAATTAATTATAACATAAACTGAAATAGCACAACAAATTTTTTGAATTTAATAAAACAAGTTAGGAAAAATGAATAAATACATTTTTAAAATAAAAATTTTAAAATAACGATTTGATTTTGAATGAGTTTTTTATTTGAATGATGTTTGGTTTTTTTTATACAGTATATATTTAGGACCGTTTCTGCAATAAATACATTTTTAAAATGAAAATTTTAAAATATCGATTTGATTTTGAATGAGTTTTTTATTTGAATGATGTTTGGTTTTTTTATACAGTATATATTAAGGACCGTTTCGCTCACGCAAGCCTCTTTTATATGATATGAAAGCACTCAATATATATGAGTTGAATGTTTTTAATATTCTTTGTTTTATGTATAAATGCAAGACCCACCTATGACCCGTTTCTTTTCGTAACTTGTATTTACAAAGAGATAGAAAAAAATATATTCTAAGGAACGATAACTTAATTCAACAACCATTTTCTCAAACTAATTTTAGAAATTTTTTTATTTTATTTCGTGGACCATTTTTATGGAATAGTATAGTTCTAAATACTTCTAAAGATTTTTCTCAAGAATGTAATTTTGATTCTTTTAAAGAAAATCTTAAAAAACTTTTTTTTTCAACTGAAAATATACTAATCTAATTTAAAATTTTTTAAAATCCCTTATCTTTATTAGTATATGTATATATTTAGGGTACATTCTTTTTTATTTATTTATTTTTTATCAACAAGCAATTATTTAATATGTTTTATTTTAGTGAATTATTTAAGTGTTTTAGTTTTTACGTTTTAGAACTCTTATATTGTAATATTGTATGTTTATTTATAATATTGTATTACGAACTTTACAAACTTTTATTATTAAATTTAATTTTGTAATAAAAAGAAATTGCACACAAATAAATAAATATAAAAAATGAAAACATTGAAAAAAAAAAAAAAAACGTTGAATAGCGTTCTCTCTGTGACAAGACATGATGGTCTTCTTTGAATATCCGCGTTCTTTACAATTATTTTTTTTCTTTATTACTTAAAAATATCTTGACTTGTTACATTTCTTTTTTCTTTTTTATATTATTTGTATCTGTATCATAAATATTGTAATAAATAAAAAAAAAAAAAAAAAAAAAAAATTTGTTTTCTGATAAGGTATTCATTAAACTTGAAGTTAATAAGGCATTTCAAAGAGATGTTTCACAAACTCATGTATGGTGTTTTTTTTAAATAAGTTCTTTTCTGATAAACTGGTGTATGTTTACAATAATTTTATAAATGTTTTTATAAATTGTATAAAGATTTTATTTTTGTTTTCATTTTCAAGGAGTTACAATAAATGTTATCGAGAATCAACTACAAACTGAATCATACGAAACAACTGTAAGCATGCTCAGTTGCAATAATGTACAATTGCTACTTGATTTTGGTGATAAAACACCTGTTACAAATATAAAAAATATCAATGCTTTTACTTTAAAACATTGTACCTACACTGAAATTCATAGGTAATAACGTTGTTGTTTATAGTATATAAAGATATATTCTCTATTATTTAACAGAAACCAAGATAAAACACAACATTTTTATGCTGGCATAAAGATACAGTTATAAAAATCATGTTTAACTAAGATGATTAGCTAAAATTTTCTTTGCTTTAGATGTAGTCTTAAGTTCATTGTTAAGTCGAAAATAAATTCAGTCTCAACAACTCTTAATAACGCCTAAAGTCTTGAAATATTTTAAATAGAAGATTTTAATAAAATAAACTTTTTAAAATTGAAATAAAGCACACTCACAAAACTTAAATAACAATATATTTAACACAGTTCTAGATTAAGGCATGGGCAGGTTGTGTCATAGCACAAGGGCCTCCACAACCATAAAAAAAGTTTAGTTGAATTAAAATCTTAACAAATGATAATTATCCAAATAATGTCAACAAAAAAAATGTTTAGATTATAAAAGTGCTTGTTTTAAACCTTTGAATGTGATAATTAAAACTCATTTTAAATTTTTTTTAAATATAAATATTTATACATGTATAAATATATATATATTTTTTCAACATAACGATGCTGACCGCTATATGTCAGCGAAATATTGTAAATATATATTAACATCAAAATATAATTAAAATAAAAGTTTATAAGCAGCAAATTAAACTCATTAAACATATGTATATATATATATATATATATATATATATATATATATATATATATATATATATATTATATATATATATATATATATATATATATATACTGTATATATATATATATATATATATTATATATATATATATATATATATATATATATATGTATATATATATATATATATATACTATATATATATATATATATATATATATATATATATGTATATATATATATATATATATATATATATATATATATATATATATATATATATATATATATATATATATATATATATATATATATATATATATATATATGTATATATATATATATAATGAAATATAAATTAAACTGCTTCAGTTTGAGGTTATGAAAAAATTTAAAGTACCATACAGTCTTATCTGCTGCGCTAAAACTTGTTTTATTAGTATATACTTTTATTTAATTTTGACAATTTTTAGGGGTTGCTTAAGTGCCTCAATTGTCTAACTTTTTTATCCATTTTTATAATCATTTTTGGCACACTTAAACGTTTTCTAAAACTCAAAATAATTTAATTTTTTTTCTCCAGAGTTTCTTTTAAGTTAAAAGAAACAAATGAAATGCTTGGTATTTTAATATATCAAAAATTTTTTATGTAAATCTACCTAAAAAATTGGTATTTATTCAACTTTTTACCGATTTTTACGCAAGGCAATGTCTTTTTAGATATGTTAAGTCAGTTGGAAAAAAAACAGATATATTGCATAAAAGTCCAGCAATTTCATTTAAAAATTTTCTATATAACCGTTTTATTTTTTGAATATATTATATTATACTTTTATATTGTTTTTTTGTTTTCCTTGAATAACTTGTTATTTGCTCTATACTTCTTTTTGTAATTATGCAAAAATAAAAGTCTTTTTTCCTTTTTTTGGGCAGTATTAATATTGTCCTTTATGATTTTAATAGTTCTTTCAGAACAATAATTAACAACCCAAGTAGCAAGCAATGTTGGCGCAATATTGTAAACTATATTGCGTTAGTATTGCCATGTGAACATTTTGTCAATATTAGCCAATATTAGTGGTACAATATAGCGTCAATGTTTTATTTTCAATGTTGTATTGCCAATATTAGCGATTTGTTAACATTGAAATATTTATATACGTATATTTTTTGCAAAAATAATAGAAATATACGTCAGAATAGATTAGAACTAGGATCTTTTGTGGGTTAAGGCGCGTTTTAAAAAGACTTTAACTAAATTCATGTTAAAACCGATGAGCGAAAGTGATCTAAACTTGCAATTCTAAAGAACACTATTTTGAAGACTTTAGAAGTCAAAATGAAAATTATCTATGAAAAAAGAAAAGTTTTTTTAATTTAAAAAACCTGAAGCAAAAAAAATTATAAGATCTAAAGCTCTTGTTTGGACATAAACGATGATAAAATAATGCTAATTTCAAATAAAAGAATTCAAATAATTTGTTAATCGCCTTAACTACACCGAGTAGCTTTAGTTCTGATAGTGTCTACTTAAAAAAACAAATAGTATGTTAATTTATGATCAAAAATTTTTCCTTTAAGAATTGTATTAAGATTATTATTCCTAAATTTTTTCGGTTATTATATTTTCCGGATATTTTAAATATGACCAGGATAGTCTATGAATCTAAATGACAAACAAAGAAATTTTATTTTGGATTTTTGAGATATAGCATTACGCATATAAAAGTCAGAAAGTAGGCACAAAATATCAACACATGTCACAAAGCATTTCACAAATTATACACATAAAGAAATAGTCTTGCTGATTAAAACGCTATTAGGAGAAACACTTTTGTTACAAACGTTGATTACTACGAAATTCTGCACGGCCGTAATATTTTTTTGGATTTTTTTAAAAATTTGTTAAGTTTAATTTTAAACAACTAGGTAATATTTTACATCTATAATTTGAATATTACTAGGCAATTTTTTTACTAGTTTTGACACTTAAATCTAATAGAATAAAAAAATTACATTAATAGTAGTTTTACATTTTATTTCAGAAACAAAACAATAATATTAAAAAGAGGTTGCAGTCATTAAAATAGCAGTCGTATTTCAAAATAGAAAAAACCATTTTTTTTTTAAAGTAAAGCATTAAAAAAATTAATTTTTTTACATTAAAAATTAAAAATAAGTATAATATAATAATACTTACCTTACAGTTTTGTTGCAAAACCTTTGTTTTGAATAACGGCTTCTCAACGCCAATACATTAAGCCAACAAGGCGTTGATATTTTTCTTCGGGTATTGCGTACGATGCTTGTTAAATAGCTATCCATAACTGCTGGATATTAGTTGGATTTGCAGAAGAAACTGGTTTTTTAACGTCTCCCTATAAGTTTTCAAAGGGATTTAGGTCGGGTGACTAAGTAGATATCTCAACCCAATTGACCTGAAACCACACCTTTGCCTTACGATTAGCGTGCTTTGGGTCATTTTCTTGTTAGAAAACCCATTTCGGCATGTATTCAACAGCATTCCATTAATCTTATAAATAGGGCCGACATCATTATATGAGAAGAAGTTCCATACCATGACTTTAGCTCTACCATGTTTTACAGACTTAATGTTACATTTTTTCTGAAATTCTGTTTTTATGGACGTCTTACATATTGTCTTGAACTTGTATCTCCATAAAGAACAATTTTCAATTCATCGGTCCATTATATGTTGCCTAACTTTTTGAAGGAGCATTTCAGATGTTGCTTTGCGAACTGCAAACGTTTAGCGGTATGTTTTTTTGTCAACAAAGGAAACTTTCGTAGCCTGTATGCATATAAATTGTTCTCTCTCAAACGCCTACGAACAATTGTGTTATTGGCATGTAATTAAACATCATCTTTGACTTGCTTTTCCAATAAAAATGGTTTACTTTTAACATATCTTAAAATTCTTCGTTCTTCTTGTGTGGTAGTCTTACGTTTTTCACCTTGTTTTTCAACTTTTGCTTTATAAATTAAGGCGTTTGAAGTTGTCTTTGCTTAATATTCAAGAATATTTTGTATATACAAGTAAGATTCACCCACTCTATGATGCTTCAAAATAAAGTTGCGTTCTGTTGGTGTACAATGAAGTCCTCGGCCTACTTTGATAGGTTTAAAAAAAGTTTTAACCATTGAGCATACACAAATAAATAAGTATATATTGTACTTGAAGCTATACTTACTTTTCCTTTTATTATATATATATATATATGTATATATATATATATATATATATATATATATATATATATATATATATATATATATATATATATATATATATATATATATATAAATATATATATATATATATATATATATTTATTTATTTATATATATATATATATATATATATATATATATATATATATATATATATATATATATACATATATATACGGGGTAATATTTCCCAAATATGTTATATTTGGGTATTATTTCATATATTTTTTTGAATGACACTATATATAAATATAGATATATAAATATATATATATATATATATATATATATATATATATATATATATATATATATATATATATATATATATATATATATATATATATATATATATATATATATATATATATATATATATATATATATATATATGCATACATATGCATATATATATAAATATATGTATATATAGATATTTATATGTGCATTTATATGTGGGTATACATATATATATATATATATATATATATATATATATATATATATATATATATATATATATATATATATATATATATATATATATATTTATATATATATATATATATATATATATATGTATATATATATATATCTATATATATATATATATATATATATATATATATATATATATATATATATATATATATATATATATATATATATATATCTATATATATATATATATATATATATATATATATATATATATATATATATATATATATATATATATATATATATATATATATATATATATGTATATATATATATATATGCATACATATGCATATATATACATATATATATATATATATATATATATATATATATATATATATATATATATATATATATATATATATATATATATATATATAGATATAGATATATATGTGCATATGTATGCATATATATATATATATATATATATATATATATATATATATATATATATATATATATATATATATATGTATTATACAAAAACTATAAAACACAAAAAACCACAGTCATCACCAAGCTTGCTTAACTTATCATTCACCAATATTCGTGGTATTTAAAATAACTTTTCTTCTGTGTAGTCTTATCTCTTG